TGCAGCCATCATTGTTGTTTGGCGGTCCGGACTGGGGATTCCAACCCGCCACCTTAGGTGTATGTGGCTGGCGCCTTAGCTGCTTGAGCCACAGGCGCCGAGCCTCTAGTACATCTCTTATGCTTTTATACAGACTTTCCATTTTTCTTCTCTCCAAGGTTCATTCTAGATATTTCCTATTCACCATTTTCCTGTTTACCAATCCTTTCTTCATCTGTGTCTAATCTATTTATTTCATCATTGGGAACTTGGGCTTCTGTTATAGAATTTCTATTTTATTATTTTTGAAAGATTCTAATTCTCTGCTGAAATTCTCTGCCCTGTCTTATGATAATTCCAGTGTTGACACCCCCTGCCAAGCTGAGGGGGCATCTATTTTATTTTCTGCTTTTTCTTTTGGTCTTATCTCCTAGTAAGCAAAGTACTTTTTTTCCCTTTTTTTCTTGGATTCTAGCCATTATGTATGGAAGATTATAGAGGTGATTTGAGTCTTTGTTTCAAGTTTCTCCCCTGAAACAGCAGTTATTGTGCTTCTGATTATCTGTCAAGGAGGGGCAGACCTTAGAGATTGGCTGGGCTTGAAACTGGACTTCTCAATCCCCTTCTTGACTCTTAACACCCAGGGTGGGGCCCTCAAGAGTCCCATAGAAATTCTGGGGTGGGCCAGGCATGGTGGCTCACACCTGTAATCCCTGCACTCTGAGGAGCCGAGGCAGGCAGATTGCCTGGAGCTCACGAGTTCAAGACCAACCTGAGCCAGAGCAAGACCTCGTCTCTAAAAATAGCTGGGCATTGTGGCAGGCACCTGTGGTCCCAGTCACTCAGAGAGGCTGAGGCAAGAGAATTGCTTGAGTCCAAGAATTTGAGGTTGCTATGAGCTGTGATGCCATGACACTCTACCAAAGGTGACAAAGTGAGACTATGTCTCAAAAAAATAAAATGAAAAAGAAAGCCTGAGGTGTTTCCCAGGGCCCCTTCTAGTCAGGCCCCCAATTCCAACTTCTGACCCCCAGCCTCGTGCATCTGAGGAAGCTGCCCAGCTTCTGGCCTCTGGGCCACAGCCAGCAGAGCCCCTGACCTCTGGGCGTACAGGCCTTGGGGCAGATGGTGTGCTCCAAATTGAGTCTTTTCACTCCCTTCTCTCTGGGACATCAGCCTTCATGGTTCTCTGATGCCTTTAAATAGACTTTTTAAAATCTGGGATTTTCTCTGTAAGAGAGTCTAGAACACTGGCAAGACAGTGCTTGTCACACTTGCACACTGTCAGTAGACATCCCAGGCATATAGGGTGATCTCATTTGTCATGGGGTCGCCACAGGCTTGTGTCCTTTTAGGAAACAGCCTCTGCAGTTGACTCTGGTGAGTCAGAAACCAGGCAGGTGCTGTCCCTGAGACGTCCAGGCACACTCTTGACCTCAATCTCAGCTGCAGAGCGAAAGTATAGACAGAGAATCCAGGAGACATTGGCACTCAGCCAGACAGATAGGCCTCTAAGTGTACCAAGGTGGGACCAGTTCCTGTGTTCACCTATGGGTCTTCTGAAGGCAGCTGAGAGCAGGGCCAGAGCATCTCTATCTTGACGTGCCCCATGGTGGCATTGGGCTGGGTCTGTCCTCTGCTGGCAAAGAGACTGGCCAGCTCACAGGCATGTGTGAGTACTTGGCACCTGGTGGGCACTCAGGCATTTGTTGAATCTTTAGAAGATATAACTAAGGTGTTTTGTTTTATTCTCCTGCTCAGATTACCAGAAAATTCAGGCTGAACTCTGAAGGCAAACTTGAACAGACGGTCTCCATGGCAACCACTACACAGCCCATGACTCCGCACCTTCACGTCACCTACAAGAAGGTGACCCCGTAACCTGACGAGGGTCTGGTTGCTGTGTGGCAGGTCAGCTTCGCAGCAGATGTGGGGTGGCTGTGCACCCTGCTGGCTCAAGAGTGTTGTCCAGATGTTCTGTAATGGCAGAAAACCAAATAAAAGGCCTTTATTTTTATGGCTAAGGATTTTGAATATTATCACTGGTATAAGTGTATATTTTTTCATCTGCTGCTGATTATTTTCCAAAGTCTTTTCCCTAAGAAAATAAGAAGGGAGGATTTTTTTTTTTTTTTTTTTTTTTTGTGTGTGTGTGTGTGTGTGTGTGCAGTTTTTTTGGCTGGAGCTAGGCTCAAACCTGCCACCCCTGGTATATGGGACCAGCACCCTACTCCTTGAGCCACAGGCACCACCCAGTGGGAGGATTCTTTATTCCTCCTGCCTTTTTGAAAAGATCTAAAATGTCTGTAAATCTTCAAAAGAGTAATCAATAAGTTGAAGACAAAAGAAAACAAAGAAGGTTGCAGTTATTTTTCCATTATTTTTAAGAAGCTGAGAGTCTGAGGACCCCACTTCCCTATAGACAGAGAGTATTCTCAAAAAGAGAGGTTAGGGTGGTATCTGTGGCTCAGTGAGTAGGGTGCTGGACCCATATACCAAGGGTGGCAGGTTTGAGCATGGCCCCAGCCAAACTGCAGCAAAAAATAGTCAGGCATCGTGGCAGGTGTCTGTAGTCCCAGCTACTCAGGAGGTTGAGGCAAGAGAATTGCCTAAGCCCAAGAGCTGGAGGTTGCTATGAGCTGTGACTTCACAGCACTCTACTGAGGGTGACAGAGGGAACCTCTGTCTCTATAAAAAAAAAAAAAGAGAGAGAGAAAGAGAGATAGTTGTAATTTTAGCATCGTTATCCAAGTTTTATTTTATAGCTCTGTGGTAAATAGTATTGTCATTTGTGTGGGGTTTTCCTGATGAAGTTTCTAAACATACTCCACAGCTCAGCCTGTCACCAACTCAGCACTCACAACAGTTTCTTCTGTTGTTCCCACTCTTCCTGCAGGAGTATTTGTAAGCAAATTCCAGACATATGTCATTTGCCCCTGAGTGCTTTGGTGATATGTGTCTAAAAACAAAACAAAGCCTTTTTCTTTTTCTTAATATGTCACCTGTCAGAAGCTTCACCAGGTACATAGAGCTGAGGCTGGTTACACAGAGGTTGGGAAGAAGATAGAAGAGATGGTACTCAAGCCAGCTGGGGATTAACATCTGGACAGCAGCTGCAGTCACTGCCTCAGGGGTTGGGAACCAAAGGGGAACAGTGCCAATACCTCAGAACAGAGGAGAGTTTGAGCTGGTGCTTGGCTCTTAAGGGAGGTGACGGTCAGTGCACAGGGCCTGGGCCAGTACCCCAGGGGCTGGGGTACATGGAAACTGGCACTACACATGCCAAGGGGTCTGGAGGCTGGGGTCTGAGCCTTCTCTGCTGCAGAATGATGCAGAAAGCACCTGGGAGCACCAAGGAGGTCTGGTTTCCTCCATGGTACCCTGGCTTCTGCACTCCTGAGGTCAGAAGGGTCCTGGGGGACAGTGCACAGGGCAGAGCACAGGAGGTGGGGCTTAGAGAGACCAGAAGTAAAGGACTAACATGGTCACAGCACCATTTAACAAAATGTGGGGGCATGCCTATGGCTCAAAGGAGTAGGGCACTGGCCCCATATACTGGAGGTGATGGGTTCAAACCCAGCCCTGGCCAAAAAACAAAAAAACTGCAAGGAAAAAAAAATGCAGAAAAATCCTAGGACTGCTCTCATACCCAGCCCTCCATGTGCCCACTGTCTGAGCAATGTCTTGGTAAAGTTGGATCTTCAAAGTTTGTTTGCTCTAGGTTTGGTTGTGATGACTTTTTTGAATAGAAGGGCTCTCCTTACCGTGTTGACCTTGGTCCTCTGTCCCCTCCCTGTGACTAGAAACACTCTCCCTGACGCGCTGGGTTCTTCCTGCTGTAGCCTGGGGGTCCTCATGCCTTTACTGGTGCAAAATTAATAGGCTCAGATGGTGACAGTCAAGTTCCTTTATTGCCAACACCCTATCAACCTTTTAGCTCTTCACTCCTGGACTGCTCTGTTTGCAAGCCTATCTATGGATACAAAACAGAATATTGTTCGTAAATTTTCCTCTTATTTTCACTGAGCCATGTGAAAATATGTATTGCAGAGATCATGACCCTCACCCCAACTGCCTTAGCATGGGGCAGACACATTTTTTTAGGAAAAAATATGAGTTTGTATTAATGTTTTCCATTCAAATTTAAGATTATAAGTTTTTTTACTTTTTAAAATTTTTACTCTTAAGCTGAAAATCTTGGTTCATTACATTAACATTATTTGCTTTGTCTACAAGGTAAAACGCAAGTTATCACAAAATATTAGTATTGACAAATTACTGATTAAAGTTTGTTTGTTTTTTTGCTATTCTTTTATATTTTTCCCATTGAAGATATACAGTGAAAAGATGATATTCAAGGTGGGGTGTTGATATTGAGACATGATCCCCAGAGCTGGATGTGTGCTGGTGGGGGTGTTAGGCTGTGGGGCCAGTCGCTCATTTGATCATGAGCAAGTTCTTGCACTGTTCATTCATGAAAGCTAGTTTGACACATTAACTGCCATGTGAGTTGTATTTAACTCACACTAGTTTTGAGCCCAGGGCCGCATGAAGCTGCAGAACCTCTGCTCACTGTCCTCACTATCAATCCCACACCTCCCCCACTGCCCATCCCCTGCTCTAGCTGCCCACCCAAGCACCCCATGTAACAGACTACGTTCTCCAGTCACTGCATCTGCCCCTAAATGTTCACTGGTGGCTCTGTGAGCAGAGTCCACAGCCAGTGTATGGCAATGTGACACTATGCTACATACTTACAGCTTCAGAGGGCATCACCCAGAACCACTAAGGTCCACTCCAGACACAACTAAACACTTGTGGAATAACAGAAGACTCAATTCTCAGGAACAAGTTCAGTAAGTATGTCATGAGTCACATACAACTTGTGTGGCGTGCAGTGTAAAAACATTCTACCACCTGTGAGTTGCATACAACTCACACACAAAATAATAAATAAAATTAAACTAGAAAGGATCATCTTCTTTTTGAAGTTTTTATTCAGTTTTCATAATAAAACACCATGGCCCAGGGATCTAGTGTAATAGGGTATTAAAGAAATCTGGGGCTCTTACTCCCACCCTTGCTGCTCATGTGACCCACCTGCCTCCTCCCCTTCCCCTGGCCTGGAAGCTGCCTCAGCAGAAGCAGGTGTTGTCTAGTTGCTCCTCCAGTCTGCAGGGCTGTGAGCCAAGCAAACCCCTTTGTAAACCTCCCATCTTGGTGTTACCTTATGGCAACATAAGATGGGCTAATAGTGTTAGAATTGGAATAATCTCTGTGTTTGTCACCAACTTTATACACAAGTTAATTTGTTTGATTTTTCTAAAACTGTCCTCTTGTTTAAGTTAGTGCAAGCCTGGCTCAG